ACTCTGAGAGTATGCTTTCGAATCCAGGATGGGACTCAGCCCCAAAACTTACAAGAATTCTTACTTTACTAAGTATAACATTTGTTACATTTGACCACTTTCAAAACGACATTGTGAATTTACATACATGCTTATTTGGATTATAGTTTGTTTGCTTTTTCTTTTTTAACGTCACACTCAGCAATATTCCAGCTATATATAACGAATAATCAAGTCTGGACCAGACAATTCAGTGATGGCATCATGAACATAGATCAACGCAATTGGAATACGATGACATGAATCAACGTTAACGAGCCTGACCACCTGATCCCATTGGTCGGTTATATATCATGTGGTCGTGCCTGTACACGTTCCTATTTCACATTAAAAAACCCATCATATTTTACAATGTTGCTGAAGAATCGACTTCACCACTGTTCATTAACAACTATCCGAGTGATTATCATCTTAAGGGCTAATAAGCAATCACGCCGCAATTCGACTATTAGCAGAGACAATATATAAACGAAATTATACACCCAGTTTGATGGTGGCTAAAATGAAAGAAGAAAAAAATGGTTATTCAATGGTGATATATTTGATACAGGCACAATAAACCGGGGAGAACAAGGAACTATACCTCTCAGTTGATTTTATCATAGGTTTGATTTTCTTAAACCAAGCGATAATATATCTAAAAATGAACTGGCCTCGCATTTATTCAGCGCACAAAGAATGCTTCTACATGGTTATATCTAAAAATAATAATAATTAGATTTAACAAAATTTAAAATAATAAAACATTTCGCACAATACACAACTGCTGATGGGTAACTTAGACATCTTATCTTTGAAAATCAATACATTTGCTATTTCGGCCAAAATTGACAGCATTTCAAACATGGTTAGGGTCATGTGGTTGCAGATTCATTTTTTACCCCTCTCTTCATTTAACCAATTTATTTTTACACAAAGTTACCCAGCCACATATTACTTTTTATAAACTGTTCCAGGAACGAGTGATGGTGTAATAAATATAATCAAATTTAACAACTGTTCTTTTTCACATTTCAAGTACATTAAAAATCAAATACTATATTTTACCCGGCCGTTAATGGTGATATGTAGACTATGTCAGTTGACGGTTTTACATACAACAGAAAAATTGTAACTCATTCTTAACCCCGAAATAATACAATGTTTCGATATATTATATAACAGCACACATTAAGTGTTAATTAGGGACTTTGACTCACAATAGATACAATCAACTCTTGTTTATTTAATGAACGTGTGCGTGTGTATAAAGTCGCTCTCCAATGATTGATATTTTGATCAATATCCCACGCTGTTGGGGCGCGTATGATGCAATCGACCAAGTCACCGCGTCTTACCACCCACTTCATTGCTGAAAGTCGCCTCTCGTGACAAACAATGGTTACTGGGGACCTGTTCTAACCCGGAATCCCTTCGGGGAGATCTGGAAGTAATGTTACTGCAAGAATTATCTTTCGCAGTTAAATGTCAGGACATAGATGTACATTGTATTTAAAGACTCTGTGATCTGAAATATCCAATTAGGATACATGTATACGGGATAGAAGCTTTACACGTGTGTGTGTACAGGTATCCTCCCAATCAGTCTCTCATACAGAAAAAATGCATCCGAAGTCTCCAAGCAAGTCTACAATACTTTGGCAAGTCTAGATTTTGTAAGTATCAGGATAATGAATAGATTCTATGGGCTCCTTTCTATTATATATTAATATATTAAAAGACAATTTAACAGTACAAAATCTTAAAATATTTTCATTGCAGAGACTAAGCGCAATTCTACCTCCCAATAATCAGGAGAAGGCCTCCGGTTTGTCCGGCTGCGCTCCTCATGGTTTATTCTCTCTCCCTGCAGTGTTTTATTGTACGATGAACAACCCCCACTCGTCGTTTATTTCTTAAATATGATAAGCATATACATGGAAAATTCGAATTTAAATAGTGGATTTTCTGAAGATATTAGTCTTACAGGGCAATTCCTATCGTAAGCGTGCAAGTAATTAACAGTCGTTATTAATGCTCGAATCATTATAGGGTTCACACACAAGTAGAATCTGAAAATAATCTCCCAACAGTCACTCGTCTTACGCCCGTGGGGATTACGCGTTAAAATAGGCCCCCAGCAATCTAAGCTGGTCGTAAGAGGCGACCAAATGGACTTGATTGTTTGTCATTGTACCCTGACAGCGTGGGTCGTTGCTCGTAAGATCGATCACTGGCTTGTCTGGTCCAGACTCGATTATATTTACAGGCCGCCGTCACATATACCCCGAAAATTGTCAAATGTGGCGTTTAACAACAAGCAAACAAACAAACACTCGTCTTATCAACACATAAGCCATGGTGCGCTATTGTACATTATCACATTATCACATACGGGTCAATACAATAATAGGTTTCTTCACGGCGATTGCCTCGAAAAACAAACATGATATTGACATGAATGTGATACAGTTTGTATTCATTGAACCATATTGTACCCAAATAGAAAAATAGAGTTCGATACAAACGCAGGTGCGGTAACAGCTGTTTGGAAAATCAGGGGCGCATTCAACACACAACAGGCTAGATGAATGTAAAGAAATCGAGAAACAATCCTGTTGAAAACATATCACCAATTAAAACCTTTAGATATACTTTTTATAATACGTTAAGTATTAATAATGGTAAATAATATGCGGTAATGTATGCTTGCAAAAGTGGATGGGGATGAGAGCGGAATGTGTATATAACCATGGTAACATGGATGTAGAAAAGAAAGTCGGGATGAAGTGGTACCATGTGACTTCGCCAGCACGTCACATTGAATGAGTCCTTCGTCTGATTGGCTCTTGTTTGTAGTCAAGACTTCTTTGGTCCACAGCCAGTTGAACAACATTTCAATCTTTGAATCTAACGTAGCCTAGTGGTTAAAGGCCCGGGTTCGATTCCCCACATGGCTTAAATATGTGAAGCCCATTTCTGGTGTCCCCCGCTGTGATATTGCTTAAAGCGGCGTGAAACAATACCCACTCACTGATTCTAACCAGAAATAGTTATGGCTCGAACTATTCCAGTTACGTTCTAACACTGCGCTGCTCACACTGCAGTGACCTAGCTTTCGTGGACCTAACTTGAAAACCTGTGCCTATTTGTTGGATAATCCTGTTATCAATGAGCTTAAATCTTAGTGTTGGCCAAACTATTAACTTGGTTTTGATATATGATGTATGTTATATGGGACAAAGGCCTTGTTTGTTTTGATATTCGACACGAAAACAAGCGCAGCATGTAATCAGAAAAACAGCCAGCCTACTAACGTATAGAAATGATTTACGAGAGCCGGCGACAAGGACGTATTAAGCACTTGATACACGAGCCACTGTGTGTCAGTGCTTGCTGCAATGCGTCGGTATGTTCAAAGGGTGTGTGCATGCTCGGATATCAGCTGATCAAGTATGTGCATGATCGCTCTGGTGTTTCGCTATACCTCGCTGGCTAACATATATTTATCGATAACAAATATAGCGGTTCCGCTTTTTGTTGAGCTCATTCGCCATCAATATGAAGCATCTATCAAACAGTACATATCAGAGGTCATTCATATAGTCCCGACATAATACGTACTAAGCCGCCCGTGAACACGTTGAAGTAAACTGCCGGGTAAACGAAATACATCCATGTTTGACGGTGGCTAAAAATGAAGCAAACAATGAATGTTTTTTCGATGGTGACGTATTTGATACGGGTATCATAGTTGTGGTTTTGGACCTTAAGTTTGCAGTGTTTTCAACCAAGTGACGTTTTGATAACGTTTTGAATTATTTTGTCGGACACAATTTTCAAGTGTATACTTAATTTTTATAGGACTCAACTTGCCTCTAAGTTATGTATTTTACAAGCAAATGATAGGGTGGGGTGAGGTTAAATGTTTTGGTAAGATTGTCACCTCTTCCGCGACAACTTGAGAGTCAAACGCCGTAGATTTTGAATGTATGACAAAGGCGATTCAAAGTCGATTTGTATTCCGAGTCGAATGTGACAAGAACATGTGTTTATATCTTATATAAAGGGGGTCTCATGAATTGGATTAGCCGTGTATAGCAACTAGTTGTTGATAGTGTAAGTTCAATTTGGACAGGACAAAGCTGTACCGTAGATTTGTCATCAGCTGATCTTTCACTATTACAAATAATATGACAGCGTCGCCCCCAAAATACCTAACTTATTGCAGAGGATACGGGGTATGTATATATATATATATATATATATATATATATATATATATATATATATATATATATATATATATATATATTACGTGCGCTTCAACGACTTTATCAACTTGATTATATCATATGAGCTGGGTAAAAAGCGGTCCGTAACGGCGTGTCAGTTATACCACGGAGTGTTAATGGAAGGAAAGCCTAAAATGACGCAGATCGTAGACATATAACACTTTAATGAAACGCACGAAGACACAAAGTTCTTACAAACATTCAATCATTACAATTTGAAAAAATCTATAGTGAAATTTTAGTTTATGTATAAACGTAAAGTAAGAGATAATCTACATTTCGACGAATTAAGTTTAGTATAAATCGGCAACCTGGTACTAACCTCGACATCTTATTTACGGTATCGACCAATACTTTGTAGGCACTGGAAGCCAGTGGAATTGCCTGAATCCCTCTCCCCTCTACCCTTTACACCAACATTTCCAGCTTGCAGGCTCTGGCATGGGCCAGTATCCGTTCAACATAAAATCATTGTTGACTTCCCATCATGAAAAGGAAAAACATTCCAAACCAACTCTGCCGTGTGAGATGCTTATTGCGAATATTGTCCTGTGCTCAGCTTTGGATTGGCTCACAAATGACCCGGTTTTCTTTGATTGGACTGTTGCTCATCAACTCCCGGCAGGTGCATGAAACAGCTCCATAACTGATCTCTCTGCTGGCATCACAGATAACTGACACATCATCTTAAAGTGTGAATATATTTTATTATAGAACAACTCAACTGACTCGTCGAGTTTGTTAAAAGCACCAAGAAATTCAAGTGAAAGGCCATTTGAGCCCAGATAGCGACCCTTGACCTTACATTGTGGGGGGAATGCACATGTAGTAAGTATAATAAGTAACATGCATGCACAATCAAAGGAAGATAATAATCACTTAAAGTATAAAGTCGATGTTAGACAATGCCAACTTCACAATGAAGACTGTGGTGTAAGCAAGTGGTAGTCAAGCATTGTCTTAGTTTAGGTCGATTTAGAAAAGTTTTAAAATCACGAGGAGGAGAATATGTTACTACCTTATGTACTCCTATCAAAACAGAGCATTTAATACATGGAAAGAGATTCACCATGACAATATTACCAGAATAGAATATATATATTTACATCATTTCGTATTGGAAAATATATACAATATACATTTTAATAATACGTATAACAGATTGATTTATAATGGTCATTATTGCACAAGCTGAAAGATATGCACGGGGAAGAAATTTGTAAATATAATGTATTTTTTCATAAGTAGCAAGAAGAAATTCTAGCAAAACTAACAAAAGTATGATGATGAAACGTTATATATAGCCTACCTATTTAAAGCTAACATAAACACAATAGACATGACGACCAGGAGGTCCTTATAATCCGTCGTCGATAACCTCTAAAGGCATTACATATAAATAATGAAAACATATTTTCACACACAGTAAAACGATTGAATAGCCCTAACCTTTGTAGCATTCTTATATGAAACCATGAACTTTCTAACATCTTTGTAAGGATGTTATAAGCTTAATCCTCACAACATGTATAGAAGACATCCTGACACCATATGCGGAAAAGAAAGAACATTGTCGAAAGACATTTACCATAAAATGTACGAAAATATGCTGATGTAATTTGATTGTACTCATGTCAATAACATCATTTTAGCATCAACTCTGTAAAATAAACTATACGAATATGTAAATATGCGAAAAGTCTGCTCTATAGACTTCATTACAATCTACATGTATAATGTACAATATTAGGAGAAGCATTAATATAGGCCTTTTTGGCCTGTTTGCTAATCCTTTTTCCATTTTGTAATGCTATTTAATGTAAAATTTGAACATTAATGGAAATAAAATACTGTTTAAATCAAATATGCGAAAATACATCGTGACATGGAACCCAAGTGTATCTTTCTGGCAACTGTAAAATATTAACAATACGTCAACCTGCAACTGTATAATTATTTTCATTATGACCCATTTTGGACAGAGTGGAATGATTTGGAAATGGAACGACTTCGCATGTACAGTTTACTAGTTAACTACTAGCGTGTTTACAAGTTCATAATCACCGCTTTCATGTATGCCGCCGCCGTCAATGACGCGTATGGCTGCCATTCCTTCTTTTGACCGTCGACGTAGTCGCACATACCTCTGATGATGAGAAAGCTGTCACAACGATTACCTTCTAGGGACTCCAACACGGAGTCATACTCTGCATCAAATGCCTTAACATTGTTCATCTGGGAGAAATCCTGCCTCAGGTCTTCAGCCCTTGCCACAATCCTGCCTGACCCGATGACGCCATACCGGACGTTCATCTGCCCTTCCCGATACCCACTTCCGTACATGCTCCGTGGGCGTGGATGGTCGTACCGAAGAACAGTGCCGTCCCGGTTGGTTGCGTACAGCTTATCGGTCGTTATGTTTGGCCTATGGAATTTGGATTCCTCTCCTTTGAGTTTATCTTTCCCCTCTTCCACGTACAGCTCCCACGGTTTGGGCTCGTGGGATCTTATTTCAGAAGTTCTACGTAAGTCTTTGACAGCTGTTTGAAGAGTTTGGTCCCGCGCGTCCCATGCACGTGTCATATAGCTGTACCCACGTGACCCCTGCAGTCTCTCCACCTTCTGACAGTATACGTACATAGCTCCACTGCTGTCGACTGGCATCGACACGACGACATCGCCGAGACGGACGTGTTTGGTGTAGTCGGTATAGTGGGGAACGGCACCGCCACAGCCCACAATGAACACGTGGTCAATTCTGCTGAATGTTCCTGAAACACATTCGATAATCATGTTGGTTGGTTGGTAAGCTGGTTTGTTGTTTAACGCCGCACTTAGCAATATTCCAGGTATATGACGGCGGTCTGTAAATAATCGAGTCTGCACCAGACAATCCAGTGATTAATATCATGAACATCAATCCATGCAATTGGGATTGACGACGTGATTCAACCAAGTCAGCGAGCCTGACCACCCGATCCCGTTAGTCGCCTTTTACGACAAGCATAGTCGCCTTTTACGGCAAGCATGGGTTGCTGAAGACCTATTCTACCCCGGATCTTCACGGGTCACCGATGCTATGAGCAGTATTTCAGTTAAAATGATGTGTGACAAAGGCACCAAATGATGCAAGTCATGGACATTTACCCTTTTGGTGAAACACAGGAGCATTGGTGTGGTGCTGACATATCAAAGATTGAGTGAGTATGGTTTTACGCCGCTTTTAGCAATATTCCATCAATATCACGGCGGGGACACCAGAAGTGGGCTTCACACACTTTACCCATGTCGGGAATGGAACCCTGGCGTGACTACCGAACGCTGTAACCACTAGACTACCCCTGCGCTTCAAATACCAACGATCATAATCAGGGCGAATATTGGACTCGAACCCGCTCTGCCCCCCAAAATAGTGTGGACTAGTATTTACTTAAAAGACTAGACAAATTTCATGTATAATATCTATAGCTCCGACTCTTAGGTCTTATATATGACATGTCCATAACGATAATACAACTCGTGTGGTACAAAAGATGAATAGCGTCATCCCAAAAGAATGATAATCGTTTCAAATTTTCATCTTTTGAGAGTACTATTCGCAAATATGTTTTGCACAAAGAGTAAACCGCACGTGTTCCATTCATTGTAACTGATCGCTGTATATGACGTCACGAATTCAAGGGAGGCAACCTTAAATTTGCCTTAAATAGTTTGGGCTTTATCACTGTACAGAAGTCACACTTACCCAGCAGCCTCGTGACGGTGTTCTCTGCGGCGATCATAGCACCTTGTCCACCCTGTAACCTAGACAGCTTGGTGGACACGACAGTGTTCTTGCCGATACGCCCACACGTGTACACCTGGGACTCACCTGCAACACACACGACAGCGGATCAGAACGGTGGTTGTAATGCAAGTTAGAACCATCATTAATATACAACCTGTGTTAACTGCTCATAAATCCGTTTGCTCTTTGCGCCAAATTTAATGTTTCCGTGGATAATCAAGACTGGTTTTCTCTTGCATTGACGTTTCATAATTATTAACATTTGCATGCCTAATTTGGACTGTCTGGACGTGTCTGTCACCGTCATTTCACTGTCCAGCTCCGATATATTAAATCCGGTCAATATACAGATATGCGTATAGCTTCGCTGACTTGACTGAAGCATGTCATCGATCCCAATTGCGTGGATCGATGCTCATGGCATCAATCACTGGATTGTCTGGTCCAGACGCCGTCATATAGCTGGAATATTGCTGAGTGCGGCGTTAAACAACAAACGCGGTCAAAACGCATCAAGATGGGCAGGTGAGTGAATCATGTTTCGCGCCGCATTATTGGGATATTGAAGACGCATCACGGCGGGTGTACCAGATATAGGGTTCTTATATACCCTGGAATAGGAATGCAACCAGGGCCTTTAGCGTGGTGAGCGAAAGCTTCATAACCACTTGGTTTCCCACATTGACCTGCAGGTGCTATGATTGTCCACTACACATATGTACATTCAAGCATGTATTTTATTTTTTGTTCTGTTTTTGGTTGTTTAACGAGCACTCAACAATATTCCAGCTATATGACGGCGAGTCTGGACCAGACAATCCACTGATTGACATCATGAGTATCGATCCACACAATTGGTATACGATGACATGCCTCAACCAAGTCAGCGAGCCTGACCACCCGATCCCGCTAGTCGCCTCTTACAACAAGCACAGTCGCCTTTGCGGCTATCAAGGCTTGCTGAAGACCTTTACAAACTCGGATCTTCACGGGTAGTCAAGCATGTATGGCATGGGGAGTTAACAAGTGCATGATAGGTAGTGAGCGTATATAAGCCTGCATGTCACCCCTTGACAGAATTTTCAAATCAAGATGTACAAAAAGCCTCATTGTTGACGTTAAATGAACCTTTCCTTTCTGTGGTGACATTGGAGAACACGAATAAAGCACAGAGACGTTAATCTGTTACATTTCAGGTCTATAACTACCATATTTCCTCTATTAGACGCCAACTATCAAATACACGCCACCTGTAATTGACGCCGGGTCATACACATTCTCCAAAAATAGAAGTCGAGCCTAGACGCCGGATAATTTATAATGCCCGTTTCCTGCAAATGTACCCTTTGTATGACTTCGGAATTTTGGATTCGTTTAGGTAGTGAGTTGCCACTGTGCTAGCATTTAAAAGAACAGACGCCGGGCCTCATAACAGACGCCTGGTCACAGGCTTGCGCGAAATTAAGTGACGTCCGGGCGTCTAATAGAGGAAATACGGTAGATGGCTTTAATGCATTCTTGGTATGCTTTATGTGGAAAACGTAGGTTATTTTATAAACATGCAGATAAGCTTTTCTGTGTGTCCTCAGAGACTATACACAGATATTGTGTATAAGTCTTCTGTTGTTGTGGGCTTGTGCTTTTGTCACATGCACGTTCTATAATAAAACCCTTTATGTGTCAACGACCTTTTTCTGATCTGACAATCTTCCACCTCAGAAGCTTCCAACATTTGAAATGACGTATAATTCAGTACTCAGCATCTTCTCTGTATTTAGTCAGGAGACATGTCCCCCGTGAACGCTATCAAAGGTATACGTGCGTTTTAAAAAATATGCTCTCAACGATCGCATTACTTTACAAAACCCAGATTTGTTCTTGTTAGGAGAAGCTTGTCAGCAGGGAGAAGTGAATTTCGAGATAATCGAAATGTGTGTTTAGCAGGTCAGTGCACAACATGCCCCCATTCTCGCCGACGTCCGGGACGCTTCGCTGCGTCCACATTCACTGACAGGCTGCATATAATCTCAATATTGAAATTGGAACAGGTGCAGAACAGATGCCCCTGGCGTATAAACACGGCAGAAACGTGGACTAGAAGGAAAGTTGATTCAGATAAGAAAAGACAATATTTAGATAAAAACATGCAAAACATTATTAGAATTTCAGGAACAGGAACAATGATTGACCGATCTATGAACGGGCGTACATAAAATAAGAACTCAAAACACGACGATTCTAAGGTAAAACTACAAGAAAACTACAGCGACATTCGCAACCAAAACTTTCCAGTTGGTAAATGATGTCTGCCTAAAAAATAAAAAAAATCAAAAAAATCAGCGTGAACGAAAAACGATTACTGGCGAAATTGAATCAATTTACAAAAATAAACCAAGTTTTTTAAAACACGACTAACTCACCAATGGTGGTCCCAGACCCTAGATGCATATACATACAGATATAGGTACATGTGCATTTGTCAAACATTGTAATTAGTGCTTGTAGGTAGATACGACAATTTTATTGTTGCATTATTTTGGTTAGAAGAGCACAATTAAGCAGTTAATATCTAATATGGAATTCTATCTAGGTGGTTAGAAGTAATGCAGTTCATATTTATCCGAGTGTGTATTTCGCGATTTGTATCACCGGTGCCTCTGTAATGACATTGGCAGTCCTTTTTAATTATGTATGAACCAGATGTCTAATAATCTTAAGTATAAGTATGTAATTTTACCTTCAGTAATGTTTGTTAGTAAGTTTGTTTGTTGTTTAACGCCGCACTCAGAATATTCCGTCTGTATGACGGCGGACTGTAAATAATCGAGTCTGGTTCAGATAATCCAGTGCTTGACACTATGAACGTCAATGACATGCATCAACCAAGTCAGCGAGCCTGACCACCCGATCCCGTTAGTCGCATCTTACGACTAGCATAGTCGCCTCTTACGACTAGCATAGTCGCCTCTTACGACAAGCATGGGCTGCTGAAGACCTATTCTACCCTGGATCATAACCGGTAACCTTCAGTAATGACCTCAAATGGAAGTTCCCATAATACAGGTTAGTACACTAATAATTATAAATACTCTAGACTGACGCTGTCGGAGTGGATGTAATCGCGGCCATGTTGTTGTACCCACCTTCAGTCTTGAACTTGACGTATGTGGTTTTTTCCTCCATCATGGCGTCCACGGCTAGCTTCTCACAGAACAGACCCGTGATGACGCCGATTGTCGGCTGCTCCTTCCCCGTCAGTGTCGGCATCTCCTTCACCAACTTGATTTCTGGCCGGAAACAGAATTCACGTGATCATCTGTTGTTCATATACATGTATAAGATACTTCTCGACTTGAAAGGGATATTTATATTATCGCACGATATATCAACTTTCTGTAGGGAAACACAGTTAATGTCAATGTCTGTTGTTAAGCCACAGTGACACTATTCATATAACTCAGGATCGATCCCCCACATTGGTAAAATACAATGTATTATTGTTGGAATATTATTAAAGGGAGCAAAACCCTACTCACTCACTCACTTACTCACTCTGTTCACAAAACCATACTCACTCACTCACTCAACAAAGTGCTAATCTTCAAACTTCCCCATCAAACTGTTTCGATGCTTTGGAATTGCTTCAGAGACCAGTTTTAGTGGTAGTTTATACCAAGGTATGGGAATTGCAGTAGTTGGCGGTAAGATCGATCTGTGGAAAGGCGCCCTAAATAACTGATATACCCGACGAAGGCAGGCTATACTTAAAACTGATGCAGTACTGGGGTTAACGTGACTTAAGATCCACGTTCTATGTATACTACTCAAAAGAAGATAAAGAACACCCGATTTTTTTCATGACTTTTAACTAAAGTCATACGAAAAAACAGTTTACTTCTTTTGAGAGATATTTATGAACAGTTTAACAAGGTTCATGTTACCTTCTTATGAGATCTATACTACTCAACTTTTGACGGGGTTAATCGGATATGTCATTTTATTTAAATATACACTTGTCATATTATGAGAATCAGTGCTGTGTATCATGGAAAGACGAAGAACTATCCCTATCAAAAGTGGAGAAGTATATATACCTCTCCCAAACGCGTGTTCTTAACCTTCGCGAGTGATATCAGTGTTTAACATTCGACAGTGTCTGTCTTTCACAGAACGTCGTGATTAACAGGAAGATAAGATGTGTAACTGTATGATTCTGTTTTAGCTGTGTACATTGATTATGTTAATACAAATGGACATTTTTGTGTAATTGTGTACCCCTATGACCTTGTTGGGAATAGGGGGGAGGCAAGTGCAGTGACTGCTGGGTTACCCCATTGGGTTAGCATTGGGTTAGCATTGTTGTAGTACGTACCATGTTTGGCGTTCTGTTCCCCGGACTGTACCCGCATCCAGATGTCCTTCTCCACCTCCTGTATCAACCCCTTCCTCTGCATCTCATTCAACATCACAACGGCGGCGATGCAGTCCGTGGACTTGATTTTACACTTCCTGAGAACAACAACCTCAACATGAAGACGTGGACTTGATCTTACACTTCCCGAGAACAACAACCTCAACATGAAGACGTGGACTTGATCTTACACTTCCCGAGAACAACAACCTCAACATGAAGACGTGGACTTGATCTTACACTGCCTGAGAACAACAACCTCAACATGAAGACGTGGACTTGATCTTACACTGCCCGAGAACAACAACCTCAACATGAAGACGTGGACTTGATCTTACACTGCCTGTGAACAACAACCTCAACATGAAGACGTGGACTTGATCTTACACTGCCTGAGAACAACAACCTCAACATGAAGACGTGGACTTGATCTTACACTGCCTGAGAACAACAACCTCAACATAAAGACATGGACTTTATCTTACACTGCCTGAGAACAATAACCTCAACATGAAGACGTGGACTTTATCTTACACTGCCTGAGAACAACAACCTCAACATGAAGACATGGACTTGATCTTACACTGCCTGAGAACAACAACCTAAACATGAAGACGTGGACTTGATTTTACACTTCCCGAGAACAACAACCTCAACATGAAGACGTGGACTTGATCTTACACTGCCTGAGAACAACAACCTCAACATGAAGACGTGGACTTGATCTTACACTTCCTGAGAACAACAACCTCAACATGAAGACGTGGACTTGATCTTACACTTCCCGAGAACAACAACCTCAACATGAAGACGTGGACTTGATCTTACACTGCCTGAGAACAACAACCTCAACACGAAGACGTGGACTTGATCTTACACTGCCTGAGAACAACAACCTCAACATGAAGACGTGGACTTGATCTTACACTGCCCGAGAACAACAACCTCAACATGAAGACGTGGACTTGATCTTACACTTCCCTGAGAACAACAACATCAACATGAAGACGTGGACTTGATCTTATACTGCCTGAGAACAACAACCTCAACATGAAGACGTGGACTTGATCTTACACTGCCCGAGAACAACAACCTCAACATGAAGACGTGGACTTGATCTTACACTGCCTGAGAACAACAACCTCAACATGAAGACGTGGACTTGATCTTACACTGCCTGAGAACAACAACCTAAACATGAAGACGTGGACTTGATCTTACACTGCCTGAGAACAACAACCTCAACATGAAGACGTGGACTTGATCTTACACTGCCCGAGAACAACAACCTCAACATGAAGACGTGGACTTGATCTTACACTGCCTGAGAACAACAACCTCAACATGGACATGTTTGTATAGTGAGAGGACGGGGCTGCCATACTGTCTCATCCCACGAATATATACCATTCCCCCATTTATCTTTCCATGATATACAAAAGTAATTCCCATAATAGATTGCCGGGCAAAAGACACATTGGAAAAAAGGCTGAAAACCGTTGCCTGTTGTAAAAGAAATACTTGATATGTGATGCCTGTGATTAAGCATATGATACTCGTATTGATAAAATATATCACCATCGAATAACAATTGAGTAGTATATTCCTTTCGGAATAAAAGTCAGACAGACCATTCAAGGTCTCAGCAAAGCTTTCAACAAGTTTTATGGAAGACATGTGAACGATATTTGACGCTACAGTGACAAAAACGATGTCCGATGAAATTTCCTATTTGACTCGTACCATATGTTTCGTGTTCCTTTAGGTGAACACCTGACTTGCCTTTGCATGTGTTTGTGATGGTGCCACCGGTGATGCAGGCTACGCTCACCTTTTCGCGAACACCTGGTGTCATCACTATTTGATAGTGATTGATGAATACACGATCATGATTAAGTAGGAATCGTACAATCGACTTTGTTAGTGGCAGATATTTCCTATGAATATGGAAAGGGTTTGTCGCATTTATTTCCCAGGCAACGTACTGTAGTAGCTCGGCCACAGGGACTGGGTTTGGGTAGGCATCTTCCAGACAACTGAGCATGCGCTGTTTCTTTGCCAACCACAGCAGGCACATCCGGATCTTTGCCCTCTTGTCGGCGCGTTCCTTGTCGTAGTTTCCTGTGAAAATATAGTAGAACTGTTTATGTCCCTTGCTAAATACCAGCAGTCCAATCATCTCCAGTGTTGCGGTGAACACGTGTGGGTGTATTGATGTAAACCTGCAATTAATCCATATGAACTCAGCAGTTTCGAGGACATAAATATTTGATAAATCGACAGTGAAACAATCTTGACAACTTAATCATTACTTGTCATATGATGTTACATATTTGAACATATAATCAAGGCACTCGACGACGATAAACATGTAACAATGTAATTCAAGAGTGTTTGCCTTACCATAATAAAATGTAATACCACATATAAATATCACACACGAACACCACTGTGAATATAGAGGATTCATCACTCGTGTTTTTTAATATGGGAAATATCAACCGAGTCTCAGTTAATCGGTATTTGCCGAGCCTTTGGCGAGGAAAATACCGATTAACGGGACGAGGTTGATTTTTCCCATATTAAAAAACACGAGTGATGAATTCTATTTATCATTTTCACATTTTTGCTTCCCAATTAAGGAATAATTGCATTAAACATTAACATCAGCAACTTGTCGAAATCTTACGTATAGATCGTGCGTAGTGATACATGTTTTCCATAGCCGTGTAAACCAAAATAAGCAACCTCTTAACTCCTTTATGGCATATTCCTTCGCTGAGAAAAAAAGTTCCTCGAATTATTTTAAACAAAAAAATTGAACAGACTTTTGCAGAATAATTGAAATAATGTCTCCAACATCAAAGGTATCCATGTTGTTTGTAAACATCTACTCACGTGCACCGGCGAAAAAAGTCCCACTTCCGGTTATCTTTTTTGCATATCTAATTTGCATACTTATGTCATTGGGGTATGACATACATGTCTCTATGTCGTAAGCTTATGTCATGGATAAAAGCTTTAGTTAAATGATAAATAATGATAGCACAAGTTACCAACGACGCAAACACTTCTAATGTTTGAATGGCACAAGCTATGTACGAACAACACATGCCACGACCTACTACTATAACACGATCCACACAGAGGTTTGATTTAGAAAAGTAGGAAAAGCTAGAACGACACAAGACAAGACAACGAAAAATGTCAGCGAAAACTATAACACCATGTTCTGTGCATAACACTGAAGTTAATATAAACAACACTTCTAATCAGATTGAATAGACATTATGTTCATAACATGTTCAGTAAAGTAGATAGAATGGAATTTATTAGTGTATGTGGAATCTCGTTCCCCAGAGACTCACTATCTGGGTTTTACTGTTGAGAAGTTCAACAAAGGCACGCACACAAAGTTTTAAGTAATGACAAAATAGCAAAAGGATGTCACGAAAAAGAAAACAAATACTTATAAAAAGGAAGTTAATTGTATATAAATTTAATTAGTATCAATGTAAATCGGAATAAATAAGCCTTTGTTAAACATTTAATGAATATTAATATATTATCAGCAAGTAAAAACAAAGATCGTCTAAGTCCAGCAATTAAAATCGTTTAGCATATCTAGGAATGGATATCAGAGGCAAGTCTGGAAAATAAACACGTTTATCCACAAAAACACACAAAACAGAGAAGTTCGACACTGAAAATACAACGCTACTGACGGTTGTACTGAATAACATAGACATACTCATGTGAATATCGTAGAATTTCGAAGTATTTTTCGAGCTGTGTGACGTCATTAATCTGTGACGTCATAAAATATTACGTCAACTATGATATTCACACTACGTATAAACTCGTTTATCCTGAATCACATGAGTAATATGTGAATCTTAGCATGTACATTAATGTGGTTTGTGTAATGATTTTCAGTGTCGACCTTGATCACCTGTGAGGCACAGAGAAAGACATGAAGCGGGTACACCTCGAGGGAGATATGAGTGTTATCTACCTGTGTAGGTTCTCCATACCGGCAACTCGTCTGTGATTGAACAATACAGGTTGAAGAGAAATAGAACATAAACTAAATAAGCCATGCCCATAGAATTACCCATATATCTTACCTGTATAATATTCAATACAGTATAAACTATTTTGAAAATAAAGTAAACCTCGACATAGATAATATAGATAAAATAAATAATATTTTGATTATAATTACAACACATTGTACAGTCCAAGAATATATAGTTTGTAAAACATGTAGAATATATAAGACATGTATGTAAGACAAGATTGAAGATAAGTATGACCAGGTAATTGAAAAATCTGTACGTAAAATTTACGTCCTCAAGTTATGGTATCTTTGCATATATAGGCAGTGACCGTTTATCCGGGTAACTCATTTTGTCTATAAATAAAGCACTAATGATACTTCATAGTCAACCATGCATCTATATACTAGTACTTCTACTCTATAAAATCCGACTAAGGCATAAATAGTCTTTATCTCTCATAAAACCCTCTGCATAATAATCATCCTAATTCAGTTTCACTGAGTAAATATAATTTCTATACTCTTACAATGAGCGAGTGAATGTTGTTTTATGTCACAGCCAGCACCAGTCCTAAATCGCGACTGCCTGTAAATAACCAGTGTATAACTAGTGTAAGATGCCGAGTGTCGGCCAGGTTATTCAGAGGTTAATAGCATGAGGAAAGATTTTTGCGGCGTCCGGGCACGATGACACTATATCAGCCAGGTGACCACAAAGTCCTCATTGGTCGACGTTTATGACAAGTAATTGAAGTATGGGATTAAGGTGTTTGGTTTAGTTCGGAGTCACCACAGGGGACTTTTGTCTTTAATGTGTAATATACCACACATGTGCATTAAGTAAATAACAGGATTAGAGAAGAAAATAATTTCCGTACCTAATATTTCTGCGAACTCCCACTGTCCCTTCGAAGCTCGCCCGGTTGACAGTGCCATACAGTTTATGTTGAACTGTTTGGTCTGCGGAAGTTTGTATTTCAAGAACGTATTTTTCCCATAGTAAGCTCCCCTGCCGACCTCGATCACGTGGTTCTTCCAACTGACCCAAAAGAACCGGAAGTCGTCTTCACTGAGAAGGTTGATTGTGGTTGCCTGTGCTCTGATGGCGCCCATGGACCCGTCACGGATGAAGGATTTAGTGTTGTCCTCCGCCCCCAACACGATTTCGTGCGTCTTTCTGTCGACGTCGCCATAGACAGCCGACAACGCGAGGTACGCGTCTCCCGCGGCCTTGATCTTGAATGTGAGGAAGTGCTTGTTGTTAACCTGGACTTCCGGTACAAACTGGTAGGCATATGTGCTCGGCGTGAACACAGAGGTGAAACTCTCTGTAAGCAAAACAGTCATATCAAAATACACACATTTATAACCTAGGCGGATCCAGTGGAGGAGTGGGGGTGGGGTGGGGCTAGGGTGGGTTCCCTGAGAGAGGATTTTGATGTTTTGGACCCCTCCCTTTTAAAAATGCTGGATCCGCCCTTGCACAATGAGCGACACTCTGGAAAGTGTACAAAAAAATACAACCACGGTTTAAGATTAGAATTTGGTGCCATCATGTGACTTTTGAAATTATTATTGATGTCCGCCTTTTATGTTCAACACCTAATGATATGTGCGATTGTAAAAACTATAACCAGAACATAACAGAACCTTTATTGCAATCAGGCCTTATTACACGGTATATGATGACTTACAGAATATATACACAATAATCAAAAGATGTAATGGCAATCATAATATAATGGCCAATAACATATAATTTATATAGCTAGACAGCGTTTACGGAGGAATTAAATGTTTCCATGATATTTTAGTAAAATTTGGATAGTTTTCGTAAGGTACTAATATTGGTAATCTGAAATAATTTCAGAATTTAATAATATTTGGTTTACTGAAATAAAATATATCTACATAATAATTTCTTTGCTCTTTGAAATATTTACATGAGAATAAAAAATGAAATGTATCACCAATACAAGGTTACATTTTTGGAGGAGTATTGTCCCATGGCCAGACTTCTACAGAAAGACAGCGACTGGCAGTGCGCACACTGTTATTTATGTGTCGTATGTGTGGTCGCAGACAACAGTACCCGGGAGATTACACCTACTTTATTACTGCAAATTGCCAGGCGATTGGAATGTACTTGCCCCTACAGACGGGGCTACTTCAGACACGGCCAATCAAATTCAGTGTCCTGGGAGTCATCGAAACGGTAAATGAGATTGGTCGAACGCGGCCGTGTCAAAACTAAAATAAATCGTCTGCTACTTACGAACTGGGGGAATGTCTTCATCTGGTTCTGTCTCTTCATTCTGCTTGACCTCGAGCTCCACGCGTTTGATCAGTCGATAATTTTTCAACAGCACCAGGGCCCGCTTCACGAACCCAATGTAATCTGAAGCAGTCAAACCAATTCTGTGATACATCTGTAACATGGTATAAATGCGCCCTTCATATACTGTATATTTATACTGAGGCGTCATGATATAAAGAAGCATACTATGAACTTTTTGATTGGCATTTGAGAAGTTGGTAAGTAACAGGAAAGACGAGATATTTTAAGAATGACCACTTCTTTATTCTATAATGATGCGACGTTTCGGTATAGATCTTTATACCGTTGTCGAGCAAAGAGTGAGTGAGTGGGTTTGTTGTTTAACGCCGCACTCAGCAATATTCCAGCTATATGACGGCGGTCTGTAAATAATCGAGTCTGGACCAGACAATCCAGTGATCAATATCATGAGCATCGATCCACGCAATTGGGATCGATGAGATGCATCAACCAAGTCAGCGAGCCTGACCATCCGATCCCGTTAGTCGCCTCTTACGACAAGCATAATCGCCTTGTCGAGCAAAGAAGATGTTATCCATAAAATATCATATGTTTCATTGGCCCTTGTATAACGTGGACCGTATTCTACAGGAATATTATATATACTTTAAATAACTACGGTAAAAAACACATTTAGTACCTTACATACATTATTTTACGACCTTCACACCCGTGGGTTCCGATTATTGACATAAATACATCTCCTGTAGGAGCTATAGTGATAGAACAACCAATGGCACCAACTTTTGGAGAGACTCCCTGGTGCCACAAGTTCCTGGAAGTAGTCTGTGAATAGCTTCTTCTTCTGCACCCCATCAGCCGACCCCCGGAACCAGAACTGCAGCGTCCACAGATCCTGAAGTGTGGATGAGTGAGAATGTTTTAATTTATATTCCAGCCAAGAGTTCGTGGCATAACATAGAAAATCGTTCAAAATAAAAAAAAATCACACATGATTTTTCAACAAGAAGACAGAGTCATCAATATCCTTGCATTCTTACAATTGTAAATATATTATTCGAAATCGATCAACATATTGATCCCTTTATAATGTATGCATAATGTCATTCTTGTATCCATAGTGGTTTCCGAAAAGCCGTGTCCCCATTGAAGTTAAACGGAAGGACGAGGCCCAAACCTCTGTCCCCCGTGACGGGGGATGATAAACGCAACGTTAACGCGGTCGGTTCCTAAGGACATTGCCGTGCACCGAATACTCAATAACAACCGCACTTCTGAACGGTCTCATTCAATTTGTCAGATACCCCTTGTGTCAGATACCTTAAAATTACAAATGTTTTTTTCTGCTTATTTCTGTCCATTGTAAAGTGAAGAATGTATTGAGTAATCCATATCCAATACGGATTCAAAACGTGGAGGTATTAGGGGCATTCTTAACCGTATATCACACGAAAGAAAACATCCAAAAAATGGGAGCGACATATGCATGCAGAGCGTTACACTAAGTAACCATTTCCTGTTTTATTAATGATGTGTCGTGAAGATGATAAAGCAAACATTTGCCCTATACATGGTGTAGCACCACGTGGCATATATCCACACATGCGCAATAATCTCTTTCTCTTCTGGTGCGTCCTGAAATACGCTGATTCAAGGTTGTGCTAATGTGACGCATCTGATAGCAGGGGTCAACCTACCTGTAACGGTTATCTAAGACCCTCATTCTTGATAGGACATTGTCTGACACACCTGAGAACAGGCTTAAGCTTACCTGTACTGGTTCTCTGTGACCCTCATTCTTGACGAACAGGTACGCCATAAACTCGACCCTACCCTCGCTAGGCTGGACGGATTCCAGTTCTGTGGAATTGTAAAATTTATATTGAGGTGTTTGCAAAGGTTACTCACAGCGTGTACTGATTAATGTCATGTTCGATTACAAAGGACATATGAGTGAGTATGTATTATGGTATGCCGCGTTTGTAGCCTTTTAACTACACCATAAAGAAACATGGCTTGGTCTGCTGTGGATGGTCAAGCTGTGTGGTCTGCTAAGACCAACCAGGTGACGTTTTAACAGGACTTAGATGAGAATGAGAATTTATTATTTATATATAAAGGTGATAGGACAGTCGCAGTTGATTGGTTTTAATTTCTGTTATTACAATATGTATGTTTCATGGTCAAATCGTACTCAATATTTCGAATGATATTACTCACTACTACTACTACTACTACTACTACTACTACTACTACTACTACTACTACTACTACTACTACTACTACTAGCCTGACTGTGCCAGGATCATCCCAAACCCTCTTTTCTGCATTTTTATTTCAATCTGTACATAATTACATCTGTACAATCTGTGCTTCATTATACACATGAAAAACAACAATTTCTAAAAGACCTGATGTTATTAACAATTTGCCCAAATATGACATATATTTTACTCACACATATACACATACATACATGCTGGTATTGGTGTCAGCTGTTATCATAGAACGTTGGGATAATGCTATGTGCATTTTGTGGCATGTATATTTGTTAACTGAACATAGTATTTCTGAAATCAATATCAGACCTATATCGATCTGATGATGCCTGAAATGTAACCTACCATCAGCGGTCTTACTGACGAGTATGCCCTTGTAGGGACCCCCGGCTATGTGGTGAATGTTGTTGAAGTTAATATCTTCTTTCTTCTTCCTCTCCAGTCTCATCATGGCGCGGCCATTCTTCTTCATCGCCGTCATCACGATTTCTGAAACGTAAAAAACATCAAATATTAATAATAGTCGAATCACCGAATCACCGAAGCCACCGCAACACTACAAACTTAAGGGCCAAAACACTACTATGGTACCCTATCAGTACATCACCATGGAATAACCATTTCTTGTTTGTTTCAGTTTTATCAATCATCAAACATGGGAGTATGCGTTCTTTTGCCCGGCAATCTTCTGCCCTGGATCCTCACAGTACTATGTTTAGCCTGTTGAATCTGAGTACAATTATATATTACAGAAATGGATATTATCATTGAAATCAAACTAATTTGTTTGGTATTTTAAGAAAATGAATGATTCCTTGTGTGAGGAGAAGCTTCGAAAATTAATTAAATTAGTTTGCTGATTTAGAAGCTGGAATTATCTTAAAAAGATTAACCGCATTGCCAATTTTATGTAAATAATGACAATATAACCAGGGAATTGGAACGTTTGTTGTGAAGAATATTGGCATTGGCATTATTACCAGGGAATTGGAACGTTGTTGTGAAGAATTGGCATTGGCATTATAACCAGGGAATTGGAACGTTGTTGTGAAGAATATTGGCATTGTCATTATTACCAGGGAATTGGAACGTTGTTGTGAAGAATTGGCATTGGCATTATAACCAGGGAATTGGAACGTTGTTGTGAAGAATATTGGCATTGGCATTATTACCAGGGAATTGGAACGTTGTTGTGAAGAATTGGCATTGGCATTATAACCAGGGAATTGGAACGTTGTTGTGAAGAATATTGGCATTGGCATTATTACCAGGGAATTGGAACGTTGTTGTGAAGAATATTGGCATTGGCATTATAACCATGGTATTATCTTTGCGGAAATCCGTTCTGGGATTATAACCAGGGTGGAATTATAAGCGGGGAGGACTGTACACCCAACCTACTAGTGCTACACCATCACGTTATCTTAGGGGCGGTTGGGTAGCCTAGTGGTTAAAGCGTTCGCTCGTCACGCCGAAGACCCGGGTTCGATTTCCGACATGGGTACAATGTGTGAAGCCCATTTCTGGTGTCCCCCGCCGTGATATTGCTGGAATATTGCTAAAAGCGGCGTAAAACCACACTCACTCACTCACGTTATCTAGGTCCTTACCGATACTGATATGATACTGATATACTGATACTGGATGTGGTCACTCATACTATCATACGTAAATGTAAATCTGAAATGTCATTTTTGACAGTGAAGACACTAAATTTTAATACAAAGAGCTTTCTAAATGAGCGCGTGTCCACACCATACCCTTTCAACAAAGTGTAGGATGCAAGAGCGAGTGAATTAAATATAGAAATGAATTCTGACATGTCTCGCATCAAGAGTCAGTATGATGAACCACAGCTGGTGGTATAATCAGCTGGTGCAAAGAAATAGTGTAATCTAATCAACGTCTATGCTGTGACGACTCCACGACTCTGATAGGGTAACGCGTTCCATGGTTAGGCTGAATTGGCTTTTGAACAAGTCGAGACCTGTGATTTTATCACTTTGCATGACACGTTGACATGTAAGTGCACTTTCATCTGCTGGCAACCAGCACCATGTAGTGGTACATTCAGTCTGACATTTGCCAAGGGACTGAATGTTCAGAGGAAGGTCAAATGTTATCTTGCACTCCAGGGCTCCACATTACGCCCGACACTTGCCAAGCCCATTTCCACCCACGCGGACTACGTTCCTTTGACATAATGTAAACTTATATTTAAATCCCCTATTTAACGTCACAAGATAAAGACTAGAATTAATACAGGCACCACGCACATTCTCGGTACTCCATGGTTTAAATTTAGTCAATACAACGCTTTAATAAAAACAGACACAACCAGGCAAACCTCTTAGGTGGCTTTCATGATGTCGGATGACTTATGGGTATATTATAAGCTCAGTCATAATGCAAATATTGATATGTCTCTTGACCTGTGCCACATCCGAGAAAGGAACGCTTTTCCTCAGTATGTGTGTGGAATTTTAGGGCTTGCACTTTGGGGGCGTAACAGTCAACTGTTTGTGGTCCAAACAATGATGTACCTTTAGATCATATCAGTGTTTGCACTGAAAGCGTTCACTCGTCACGCCGAGAACATGTTGGATTCGCTATAAGAGATGTGTATATGACGTCAATTCCTGGCGTTTCCTATGGTATTGCTCATTCGTGACCAACTCGTGTTATTCCGGGACAAGCCGAATAGCGACTCGTGCCCCGCTCATGACCATTTTTGCGACCGGGTTCCGTCTTAGCGCAAACGGGCATACCTAAAACAACTGTCAACTCGTTGCGTAATGGTTCACTTACATTTTCGCATATATTATATATATTTAAGATGCAATTTAAAGCACATCGGGACATGCGGAATTATACAGTATGATTGAACACATTTGACTGTGTCTTTGGTATATTTTTAGATGTAAGACAAATGTAAAATCAAAAAATATTTCTGAGGGATTATTTGACGAATAACTTGAAATCATACGCGCCTTCTGATTGGTTTAACGTATTTTCGCACATGACATTCATCGATAGGGGGACGAGTCTTCTTGCAGGTTACGGAAAGGGACGAGTGTTGACGAATGCGGTATTGCTGAGAGCGACGACAAAACTTATTCACATACTCGCTGTACATCCTACTCTAGAAATATCCTGGGCACCGTTCCAAAGCGATCTTAGCACTACAACCATCGTAAGCCAGTGTTAAAGTATGGGAGTTACGATCACCTCAGCGCTAAGATGGCTTTGTGGAACGGGGCCCTGGACATAACACAGTTATACAATCATTTAGGGGTCTAGACAGTAGGCGCCATATGTCTAATGTCTTCAAACAGCGTTTTATTCAGGTGTATTGTCCGTCAAAAACGAAATGTATGAAGTAAGGATACTTCAAAGAAGTTAAACGAAATGTATGGTTCAAGAGAAATTGATTTGTATTAATATATTAGGTGTAATAGGAAATAATGAACAGTGATGTGAGTAGATTTGTCCATTGTGTGACACTGATCAACGGATATCACACCACGAACAACGGGTGTGACAAGGCATGTACGTTAAGGCTTTATTCTTTATCGATTATTTTCTTCTTAAGAAGATTATTTAAATTAGTGATAGGTCAACATGCATTGGCATGATTGAATGTTTTGGGCAAAGTTCCCTTTCTCCAACGCAGGTAGTCTCTTGGATACGACACTAGAAATGCACTATTCATATTCTGTATTTCGACAGGGCCTCAGTTAGTCATATAGTTAACTGCTGTTCATAGATCTGCGCAGTTTTGTGTGTAGAAAATAAAAGCGACAAATATCATTATATATAATATAAAACGTCACACTCAATCACAGTTAAAAATTTATTTGTTTTCATTTTTGAACTTTTCTAGATGAAATCTAGTTAAAATATACCCCTATCTTATGTATACACCGTGATTCCTGTCATGATGTATTTTGTTTTCATTTTTGTACCTTTCTAGATAAAATCTAGTTAAAATATACCCCTATCTTATGTATACACCATGATTCCTGTCATGATGTATTTGTTTTCATTTTTGAACTTTTCTAGATAAAATCTAGTTAAAATATACCCCTATCTTATGTATACACCGTGATTCCTGTCATGATGTATTTGTTTTATATTTTTGTACTTTTCTAGATAAAATCTAGTTAAAATCCACCCCTATCTTATGTATACACCGTGATTCCTGTCATGATGTATTTGTTTTATATTTTTGTACTTTTCTAGATAAAATCTAGTTAAAATATACCCCTATCTTATGTATACACCGTGATTCCTGTCATGGTGTATTTGTTTTATATTTTTGTACTTTTCTAGATAAAATCTAGTTAAAATATACCCCTATCTTATGTATACACCGTGATTCCTGTCATGATGTATTTGTTTTATATTTTTGTACTTTTCTAGATAAAATCTAGTTAAAATATACCCCTATCTTATGTATACACCGTGATTCCTGTCATGTATTTGTTTTCATTTTTGTACTTTTCTAGATAAAATCTAGTTAAAATATACCCCTATCTTATGTATACACCGTGATTCCTGTCATGTATTTGTTTTCATTTTTGTACTTTTCTAGATAAAATCTAGTTAAAATATACCCCTATCTTATATATACACCGTGATTCCTGTCATGTATTTGTTTTCATTTTTGTACTTTTCTAGATAAAATCTAGTTAAAATATACCCCTATCTTATGTATACACCGTGATTCCTGTCATGATGTATTTGTTTTCATTTTTGTACTTTTCTAGATAAAATCTAGTTAAAATATACCCATATCTTATGTATACACCGTGATTCCTGTCATGTATTTGTTTTCATTTTTGTACTTTTCTAGATAAAATCTAGTTAAAATATACCCCTATCTTATGTATACACCGTGATTCCTGTCATGTATTTGTTTTCATTTTTGTACTTTTCTAGATAAAATCTAGTTAAAATATACCCCTATCTTATGTATACACCGTGATTCCTGTCATGTATTTGTTTTCATTTTTGTACTTTTCTAGATAAAATCTAGTTAAAATATACCCCTATCTTATGTATACACCATGATTCCTGTCATGTAGTATTTGTTTTCATTTTTGTACTTTTCTAGATAAAATCTAGTTAAAATATACCCCTATCTTATGTATACACCGTGATTCCTGTCATGATGTATTTGTTTTATATTTTTGTACTTTTCTCGATAAAATCTAGTTAAAATATACCCCTATCTTATGTATGCACCGTGATTCCTGTCATGTTGTATTTGTTTTCATTTGTACTTTTCTAGATGAAATATAGTTAAAATATACCCCTATCTTATGTATACATCGTGATTCCTGTCATGTTGTATTTGTTTTCATTTTTGTTCTTTTCTCGATAAAATCTAGTTAAAATATACCCCTATCTTATGTATACACCTTGATTCCTGTCATGTTGTATTTGTTTTCATTTGTACTTTTCTAGATGAAATATAGTTAAAATAT